CCAGCCTGAAGATCTTTAAGCTTGAGGCATTGAGTTAAAAAAACAAAACAAAACTGGTACCCTATGCCAACAATCTGAAGTTTAAAGGCAGCATATTGAGTGGTTATCTAAAACAGAGGTAYCTGCATTCTGAACTAACTAAGCGGCATCCATCTCTCATGCCAGGAGCGGCCAAGGATTGGATCACCTGCAGAGGTCAGTTCTCCCCCAAAGTCAGTGTACGTCAAGCGCTGACCTGCATCCTCTTTTACATCCCTTCTGCTCACTGGATTRAAACTCTTGGGAAGAAGAGCTACTTACAGAGATAAGAGGAAGACGACTGTCCCCTGCAGGTTCACCAGGACGGCTAGGGTTCTCCAGGAGCGGATGAAGTATCCTAACAGGGCATATTGGGCGATGCCCACGGCAAAGAAGAGGCCGCCAATGGATCCTAATGCAGGGAAAAGAGAAAGGTCACCAGAGAAAGCTTGGTCTGCAGTCCCATTTCCAACCCCAAGTCCCAGAGCCAACTGTACTCACGAGATGACAGCCCTTGCCTGAAAAGTGTGAGAGGCACAGAAGAAGAGAAAAACCAACACCAATGTTCAGCCTCAGAGGATAAAAGGTAAAAAGAGAGGCCAGAAAATGAGTGGAAATGGAGGAAGGAGAGAGGAACACAGACCACATGTACACAGGATGAGTTTGAAGGGTTTGGCCAAATGTTTTTGGTATTGGGAGTTACCCTGACATCTGCCTGAGCCTCTGGCGGAGTCTTGGCAGTGTGTGGGTGAGCAGGTTTTTAGGCCACATGGTGACTGGAATGCTGGGCCTCCATCTTTATCAAAGAGGATGCCCTTGAAGTCCCTGTCTTAAACCAGAGCCTGGTGCCCTATTCTTTCATCACCCTTCCCTACTTAATTCATCACCATCAGATGCATGACAGTTTGTATTTATTTGTTTCTTATCTGTCTCTACTAACCAGAACATAAAAAAAAAAATACCAGCCATAGAATTTTTAAAAAATCTTATATGTTTTTTGAAATGAGTATTGAGGTGGGTATTAAATGTGCCGGCTTGTCCAATATTCTCACAAAATCTATMTCTCTGATGTACCTTCTCTAACTGCTTTGATCACTGTTAGTTATTTATTGAGCTGCTATTTATTGAACATTAATGGTCTTGCATATATTGTTTTACAAAGCAGGTATAATTATTAACCTGAGAAAGTAGCTCGGAGAGGTWCAGGGAAACTGTCCAGGAACAGAGRGCTGAGTAGGGCATGGCCAGGACTTGTACCCAGGTCTGTCTGGATGGTGGTTCTGCATTTTGTACCATTCCTCTCTACTGTCTCCCTTCTATGGAAAAATAACTTCTGTGGACATCTGTAGCCACAGGGCTTTGCTGAGCTTATTACAAAAATTTCATCAAGAATCCTGTAAAACAAATGTTTTCTTTGATTTCTGTCCATAGTTCATCATGAAAACAAAACAAACAAAACAAAACAAAACAAAAAAACAAACACTGACTTCTATACTGTTTGCCTGAGCAAGGAAAAGAGAGAGCCACAAAGAAGAGCTAATGTGCTAGTCTGTGCAGTGTGCTCAAACTCCAGTGAGTAAGGGAATGGCGACAGTGTTATTTCCCTGGAAATTTAAGACAATCAATACCTATTACAGGTTCATTACAGTGCGTCAAAGAGCACCTGGCTCCCAACAACAAGGCTTCTTGTCACGGCTCAGAATGGTCCTGAGCACGCAGTACCCACTCACAACAATGTCGGCAAAAGGAAGACAGTCCAAGGCATGGGATGTTTTCAGAGGAACCAAATTTGGACCCTAATTTTGCCACTATTCCTGTGTGACTTTGGACAAATCACTAAATGTCTCTGAGCCAAGGTTTCCTCATTGTTAAGATATAAATAATAATACCTAACAAAAATGGTAGTTTTTGTTCATTGCAGATGAAATTATACATGTTCGACAAATGTTAGTGTGTACAATTATTGTTCTGTTGTAATATAGGTTTAGCTCTTTGTGTCAATTAACTTTAAAAAATATATTCGGAAGTCTCTTGTGCATAGCTATTTCAGAATTTTCTTTTCTTTTTTTTCTTTCTTTCTTCCTTTTTTTTTTTTTTTTTTTTTTTGTACCAGGGATTAAATCCAGGGGCACTTAACCACTGAGTCACATCCCTAACTCTTTTTATATATTATTTAGTTACAGGGTCTTGCTAAGTTGTGAACGCTGGCTTTGAATTTGTGATCCTCCTGCCTCAGCCTCTGGAGCTGCTAGTATTGCAGGCCTGAACCACCACACCTGGCTTTGAATATTTTCTATCTAGCTCTCATTTCTAATTYCAAGAATCCCCCCACCTCACTTTAYTGGAGAACTGATCCTRCYACTTCATCTCCACTGTGGTRCTGCCAGCCAGGGTCAATCTAGTCCAGGGTGACCCCAGCTGGACCAGTCRGAGCTCTTACCCAGGATTTTAAATACTGGACTTGGAACTGCTGGGACCCATCTCTGACTGAGCAGAGGAAGCTTCCAGAGACGATAAGGAGCAGAGGTGAGAAGCCTCTCACTTCCTGGTTCCAAGCATCTCCAAGGCCTGGCTCCAAGGCTTGGTGGTTAATCAAATGATTTCCCTCCATACACAGGTTCTTACGATTTGAGTCTCTGTCACAATCAGTAAGAACTGGCACCAACTGGATATGACAAACAAGAGGAAATGATATTCAAAGGTATCTAGCTGGTGGCCTTAAATACTGTGACGACATGACCCCAGGCAGAGATGCCGGAAGACAGTGTTGATTTTACATGAAAAGCCATAGGTCTTAGGGACAACAGACAGTCACATCTGATGTCTAGCAAGAAGCTACACGTGTGTGCTTGGAAATGACAGTGGAGACAAGGTGTGGAGCTGAAGATGCAATGAAACTCTCAGCTACTTCGTTCAAATGATTAATATTTTAAAAACAAACATTTCAGATCACCACTTTTGCCCATGGCAGTTTTGGAGCACCACGGGTGGTTCGGTGACTATCCCTGGACCTTGGGGGTATTGATGCACACTTCCCAGATTTCTTTTCTGCTGGCTTCTAATTAATTTCAAGTCTGCCACTCCTGCTCAATTTGGACTCAGCAAGAGCTCATTTGGGCAGGTTAGAAAATAGATGRGACTTCATTTGGTAAATGGCACCAAGGACCCTCCCAGTTTCCAGACACAAACTCYGAGGTCCCCCTGAGTCTCTCTGTCTCATCTCTGTGAAGCCTTCAGGACGTTATGTCCCACCCAACTCCAGCTCAGATGCCCCTCTTCCTCCTCCTCCAGGGCTCACATCTCCTCGGAGTCGCTGTCTGTTTTACACGGTCAACGACRCAGCCTCCTAGGTGACCCCTCAATTTCTACTTCCCCTCGTTTCCCCTTTCGTTCATTCTTCACACGCCGACCACAGTAACCTTTCAGTACATTGGAGCCTGTCACTGCTCTGTTTAATACACCCTGCTGGCTTCTGGCTGTGCCTTGAGTTAAAAAAAAAAAAAAAAAAATCCTCATTTGGCCTACCACAGGCCCTAGGTCCCAGGCCCTAGGTGCCCCCCAAGCCTGCTCACTTCACTCCTGTCCACCCCCTACTTCTCCACACTGCAGCTCCACGCATTCTTCAGACTCCCCAACAATCTCCTTCCTGCCTCTGGCCATGGTTCTCGCCACTCCATTTGGCGGGAATGCTCTTCTTCTGACTTTTGCGTGTCCAGGGCTTCCTCATCATACATCTTAGATCAAACTCCTACGAGAGGTTTTCTCTAACCATCCTATTTCACGTAAGTAGTCCCCCAATTCTGTCTAGCCCATTACCCTGTTTAACATTCTTCACTGTCCTTAGAGTTATCTGAAATCGCCTCCAAATTACAGGATCAGCTTCTTAACAGCCAGGACCTTCCCCCACCTACCCCCTATCTGGTCCACCCATTTGATCTAAAATGCTCTAAAAAGCTGTGTCTGACACGTGGCAGGGTCTGTTTCATAAGTGAGTGCTGTGGAATGGTGGGCACAGGAAGAGCTCCAGAAGGACACTCAGCAAAATGTGAGCCACCGTCGTCGGTGGGCAGGTGGGACYGTAGTATTCTTTACATTTGCTGTGTGGATCTATTCTCTTTGTTCTGAGAAGGTATTAAGARAACAAATAACCAACGTTCTAGCACAGGCTTTTCATAGCTTTAGTACTCGACTTCATATTTCAATTCTCAGTAACTACCATAATCCATAGTTTCCTTCTTCGTAAGCTGTTCAACACCGATCAGAAATGGATCCCTTCAGTTTGTACTTGTGCCTTTTTTGTACATACTTTACACGCTATTTTATACATACTAAAAAATACTATTTAGCTATCAAGCATTGATTTTTCTAACCGATTTTTCCAACGTCTTGCAGTTCATGAGCATATTTGAAGTCATAGGGGTGTGTAAGGTTGTGCTGGAGAGAAACCAACTTGAAAAGAAGGGTCCAGGATAAAAYTCTGGGGAAAGACGTTGGTTCATGGGAGAAAAAGGAAGCTGTACACAAAAGCATTCCGGGCTCCATTAGATGAGCCTTCCTTTTGTCCTGGGTGCAGGTCCCAGTCCTGGCCTCCAGGGAACTCTGTCATACTCTGAATTTCACATTGAATTTGGCAACCATCTGGCTCCACTGTTACAGTTTTTTGATTTTTATTTATTTTTTTATTTTTTCCCTTCCTTCCTTTTTTCTTTGCTACAAAAATTTTAATTGCCTCATCTTAACCCTGCTTCAAGGACAAGAATGAGAGGTGAAAGCACTTCGTTATGAATTTTTTTCAAGGGCTTTAGGTGACTGTYATGGAAACGAGAGTCCAGGAGGTCTTTCCTTTTAACCAACATAGGCCACAGGACAGGAATAATCAGATAATCTGGCAGSGGGAGGGCAGTAGATGTCTTTCACACAAGAGCATCTTCATGGAACAGCTCAAGTTAAATGTGATTCTTCTCAGAGCAATGTACAAGGCATGTGAAAAACATGGTGTCATGATGCTCTAGGTGAGCAAGAACTAGACCCTGGGCCCCGGGACAGYCCAAACCAGAGACAGTGCCCTTGTTCCTGCCCTGCATACAGCTGCAATCACTTCACTAGTTCCTTGGAATTAGTCTGACCTTACTATTTAGAAAGATGCTATTAGGGCTGGAGTTACAACTCACTGGTAGAGTATTTGCTCAGCAGGCCAAAGCCCTGGGTTCAACCTTCACTCATCCCCCCACCCCCATGATATCAATGTCTCAATACAAATGGAAAACTCAGAGGGAAGTTTCTCACTGGTCCTAGCTTAGGAGCTGGGTTAGGGGATAAGTACACTCTGGCAGCTGCTACAGACAAGGTGGAACCGAAAGCGTTAAATGAAGGTAGAAATTCTTAATTGGTAAGATCTGGAAATATTACAGATGTATGTCAAATGCCTAGGGTGGCACCTGGCTGTAACAGGCACTCAACAAATGGAMGGTGGCACTGCATGTGAGTTCTAAGGAGCGACAATGGCATTCTCTCAAGACATCCTCACTTAGAAACACTGCTGTGAGTCACTATCAGTTTATGAATATCAGTGGTACTTAGTGATGGTCAAGTAAGTGAAAGTGAAACAAGCAAAGAGGTATCACTGTGAACCTATAATCCAAAAAGTAGAGTCTTAGACACTATCCAAGACTGTATTTTAAGTAAAAAAAAAAAAAAAATCCTTTAAAATCATTTTTTAACTATATATTAGTTCTTGAGGAAATGATGGAATTKTTAAAAATAAAACTGAATAGAACCTCATTTTGCAATTTTTTGTAACTAAAGAAATTCTATAACAATATCATTTATTGATTTGAAGAGAACAGTAAAAATGAGAAAGGCTACGAAATAGGATTTAACAAAATACAATAAGAAGGCTTCAAGAAAAGAAGTTCTAGTACTTTCTATCTCTGCAGTATTTCCCACTTTAAGCTAAATAGCATTTAATGCTGTTCTGAGCACTCTCCACAACAAAATGCAGACGGGCTGTGAGTTGAGTACCAAGGTCACCATCTGTGGTACAAGCCCTGGAGAGACATTTTACCAAGGAATATGAATAAAATGACTYATCTGATGTTATACAAAACAAATTCAGAAAATCAAATTTAATACAGATTGAGCATTCCTCATCTGGAAATCCAAAATCCAAAATACTGCAAAATCCAAAAGTTTTGGAGCACTGACATGATACCTCCCACACCTGATCTCACATGAGGAGTCACAGTCAAAATGCAGACATGCTCAAAATATTGAACAAAATCGCCTTCAGCTATGAATATAAAGTATAATATAAATTAACTTTGTGCTTAAACTTTGCGTTCCATTCCCAACATGTTTCATTATAAATACAAAAATACCACTAGATCTGAAAAAGTCTGAAACACTTCTGGTCCCAAGCATTCTGGATCAGGGCTACTCAACCTGTAGTTGGATTAAGTGCCTCAAGTCCAAATGCATTTTCAGACTCTAGGGTTAAACTAGTTCTCTGCAAGGTTTTGCAGAGCAACTCACCACATTCGGATCTGCAAGGATTTAGGCAGTACCTGCAAGTGCCCAGTAGGCGGTGCCCACACATTCATTTAGCAAGACAAAGGCCACCAGCGACATCCCTCCATTCATCATGCCCACCAAGAATCGAGTTATTGCAAAGAACTCGTATGAAGGGGAAAATCCATTTGCGATAGCAAATAAGATGTCAAGAGCAAAACCTAGAAAAAAAGGAATAATATTCAATGATTCAGAGGCAAAATAGCATTTGATGAAAGTAATAAATTATATCCATTAGTCTGTAAAGTAATCCATTGTAAACTTAAATTTTCTGAGCCATGTTTTTTTTTCCCAACAGTTTCTCTTGAAAACGACAGAAAAAAACAACAGAGGTTTACTGGCTTGGTGACATAATTTCTGTCAATCACACACAGCTTTCAATTATTCATAATAAATGTTAGAAATTTTTTTTTTATTTAAAAAAATTTTTTAAATTAAAAAAAATGCTAGAAATTAAAAATATTTGCTTATACTCAGCTTGTTGAGAGACTATGCCAAGTCCTGTAGAGCTCATTTGAAATGAATCAACAGAGAGAGAGATGAGGAAATGGATATGGAAGACTGTCTCAAATCTTTCACTGCTTCTTTGAGAAATATGGCTTCCATTGCAATTTGGGGGTTGCAGAGAAACACATCACCCACAAAAGTTTTTAACGCTGATACCTAGGCTTAACCAGGGGGATTAGTCACTGACAAGCCAGAACTCACTCTGCTTGCAGTTTGGTCTTTTGCCAGTATAATAAACATACAATCTGTGTCCCCATGTCAATGCCCTGAGAACTCTGAGAAACCAGCCTCCTTTTTATTTCCCTAAGAGTCTCCGGGAAACCCATCCTCTTATTCATTTCATGAACACTGATAGATTACCTGTGAGATAGACTTTCTTCCTTCCGTAGCGATCTGAAAGCTGACCAAAAGAGATCACGCCCACAAACACCCCACTGAAGAAAAAGGAACTTGCCACACTGACTTTGTAAGATCTGTTGGCGATTAAAAACCACTGGAAGAAGAGACAAGAAGAGACATTTAGGTCATAAGAAAAAAAAAAAAAAACACATGGATTGAGTTAGCTATTGCAAAACCAAATTTATTTAAAAAACTTGCACACTGTAACTTCTCCACCRCGTGCTCCACTATTAACTAGGACTTGTAGAACACCATCTTAAAGGACATCTTAAAGGAGACTGCATCTTAAGGAACGCTAGAAAACACTGTTGGTAGAATGTGCTCCCAGAGCACCCCACACGTACCTTCTTAAGGAACTGAACGCAGCCTTTAAGCGCTAATTGTTTACATAACTGTTGGATCTGTTCTTTATCTTAAACCTCCATGTCTCTTAAGAGGAAGAGACTCCTTCCTTTCATTTCCATTTATCGGATGCCTACCCACACATCACGTGGCATAAAGAAATAAATGAAAGCTCCTTTTGTTCCACAGATTAGTAGGGTTGAAATCCCTTGAGTATTTTTCTCAAAAAATTAAACACAAAATATATGATCCGTCAATTMCAGTTCTGGGTATAAATCCAAAAGAATTGAAATCAGAGGCATGAAGAGATGTTTTGTACACACGACTTTGTAGCAGCATTATTTCCAACAGTCAAAGTGAAAGCAACCTATCCATGGATGAATGGATAAAAAAGAAAATGTGCTATTTCCATATGATGGACCATTATTCAGCCTTAAGAAGGAAAGAAGTTCTGATTCATTCATGGTGAACTCTGAAGACATTATGCTAAGTGAAATAAGCCAGGCACAAGTGGATGAACATTACATTATTCCACTTATATGAGGTACCTTGAGAGTCAACATCACTGAGGCAGAAAGTACAATAGTGGTAATGAGGGTCTAAGGGGAGTGGGGACAGGGAGCCATTGTGTAATGGGAGCAGAGTTTCCCTTTAAAACCATGAGAAAATCCTGGAGCTGGATAGAGGTAAAGGTTGTAGAACAATGTGAATGTACTGAATGCSGCTGAATCGTGGGCTTAGGTATGATTACAAGGGTCAGCTTATGTCACATGTATTTACCACCACAACAATACATCCTTAAGTTCTACCGTTTTCTACTTKAGGGCAATTTATGAACTTCAAGAGAAAGCCATCATCCTTAAACCTAGTTATCTGAAGCCCCACCTAGGGATGTGCTGGGATATTTGGTTATAAGCATCAGAGTCCAACGTTGTCACAGAAGTAACCTCAGAGAACCAAGAGACTGCTCACCTTTCCTCTACCCAGCCCCTTTCCTAGACCAGCAACGACAGGTGTGTGCAGAGCCCTTTCTTGGGGAGAACTTGCACATTGCTACCCTCCTTGGTTGCTCTTCTCCTTCCTTCGAACCACCCCTTTTCTACGCTCTGACAACCAGTTATTAGGACTTCAAAGCACGTTTGACTTCTCTCCATCCCTTGTATTTCCTATAAGCCTGGTTTGATAAAGACCTTGACAAGACAGGCAAAAAAAGACAAGAGTCGGGAATCAGGACATAGATAAGGATGATGCCGCCTCCCTAATGCTGGGCTTGCCTCTGAAATCCCCCATTTTTCACATGAAATTTCTAGCAAGTTCAATGAATTAGCTGATTCTCCTAGACTTTTGCTATAGTTTTGGTGTTCAAAGACCCGGGTGCACAGGGGTGGTCACCAGGGTGGAGATACCTCGAAGAAGTGGAACCTTTAGGAGATATGGCCTAGCAGGAGGTCTTAAGTCACTGGGGAAGTGCCTAGCACTGTCATTGAGCACCCCTGCCAGAGATTTAAAAGAAATGAGTCCAGCTTATGTCATGGACTAGAATTTCTAAAACCATGAGTCAGGGCTTGGGGYGTAACTCTGTGCACTTACTTAGCATGTGTGAGATCCTGGGTACAGTCCCTAGCCCCATAAAAATATAAATAAAAATTTAAAAAAATAAAACCACAAGCCAAAAACTCTTTTTTTAAAAAAAATACCTTTATTTTATTTATTTTTATATGGTGCTGAGGATCGAACCCAGGGCTTCACGCGTGCCAGGTGAGCTTTCTACCGCTAAGCCACAATCCCAGGCCCCCAAAACCTTTTATTTTAATAAGTTAATTATCTCAGATATTTTGTCATGGTGACAGAAAGCTGACTAACAAAGAAAAATAATACTGAGAAGCAGAGCCGTTCTCCACTTTTTAACAGTTTTGCCTATGTGGAGGAGCCTTTGGAACTAGCTGACAGGAATTTGGCAAAATTTGGAGAAGTAGGCTAGAGAACACCTAGAATGCTGCAAGCAGAGCTTAATGGGTGAACTGGATGAGGATGTGGAAGACCAGAATGCTGATCTAGAGAGCAAAGGTTATGCTAATGAGGTTTCARATGGAAATGAAGATTCTACTAGGAATTGAAAAGGTCACCCCTGTCAGAATGTAGCAGAAAAAAAAAAAAATGGATGCATTTTGTCCATGTCCTGATTCTTTGCAGGAGGTCAAGCTTAAAGGTGTTGGATTAATTTTTTTGGTGGAGAAAATTTCAAAGCAGCAAAGCACTTGGGCTGCATCATGAATAGGGATGGTGGGCTCAAGCTGGAAGGAGCCCAAGTCCCTGAGAACTGGGAGAGGACCTAGGCACTGGTATACTCTTCGTGAAGACAGAACCGACAGGACTTGGGGAAGCCTGGGGTGTGATGGCGTGGGGTGGGGAGAGCAGCACCTGAGCTTTTAATGTTAGCCGTCCAGTGGGTGGTTGTGACGTTTCAGAGATGGTAAAGGCTGCAAGAGATGTTGGGTCTGTGTGGGAAACCAAGAGCCCTGCTTGGACGTGCTCAGGGACAGCATGCCTACAAACACCTAAGTGGAGATGCCAGGCAGGCATGGGGACTTGTTTCCTGAGGTCACAGGAGAGGTCAGCTAGAAGGGCTGGGGCTYAGGACACTTCTGCACTCAGAGAAGGAGTTAGAAGAAGATGGGAACCATGATCTTCTAAGGAGTGGGCCATGGCCTGCCCAAGGGAGACCTTGCAGGGTTCTCAGACCATGTTGAAAACTCACTGAAGCTCTGYAGCTACTAATTTTATGAGAAGGAAGAGACAGTTGAGCTCACTCAGAGTTGGGGATTTTCCAAGAGTACTATGGAATGCAGAAGGTACCAACTAAGTGTATTTGCAAAGGAGTGATTATCATGATAATGCAATCCACGGTGGCTACAAAAACAAAACAAGCTATGGGGGTGGGCAGTAAATAACTGTTGCCATTAAAATSATCCTTTTTATTGTTAACTTCTCTACATTTCCCATTCTTGCCCTGGTTGAAACCTGGTTGTCTCCTACGGGATCCTTCTCAGCTGGAAGCTGCTTTTCCTTTCCCATCGAGGGACCTGAGTGCCGGGGAGGAGAGGAGAGATACAATTTCAAAATTAACAGYTCCTCTGAAGCTCAGATGATCAGACTGTGTAACCCACGACCCTCCTGAGGCACATTCATTCTTCCCTTCTTCTCTACTAACAGCAGGTGTCGCTGGGCAGATGCCCAATCAGGATGAAGACGAGACATCCCAAGGCCTTACAGTTTTTGGATGGTATGGCCATGTTGTCAAGTTCTGGGCAACGGGAGTGGGTGACAACYCCCAAGAATTTGTCTGTGAGTCGGCTGATCTAGCCTCTCCCCCTTCTTCCWGCCCACTGTTTGGAATGTCCAGGAGAAAGCTGGAGCCCTCTCTGGGGAACATAACRAAGCGGCCAGAAAACAGCAATTTTGAAATCAAGAGCGGAAAGGAGTCTGAGTTCCTAAGAACCTGGGGGAGGCCCTCGTTCTCCAGATGGTTCTCACAGGCAGTCAGATAAGCACTGGGCTTTATCACCTTCAATAACAATATCACTTCTAAAAATCTTGATTCTGAAGATTCCGCACTCTCAGATTGCCACCCCTTATCATCCACGTCCCTTCCTCTCTGTGCCTCTACTCCAAACATTCTCTCACCTCTTCAAGGCCTCCAGTTACCATACCATATTAAGTATGGCCTGGGTCACCAAAAAGGTTCAATCATGTTAACATGCTGGGATTTAAAGATCTGTGAAAGAAAGGGCACATTTTTTAAGTTTCATATAAAAGAGATGAAAAGAGTTCTGGCACCTGAAGGAGAAATTTTGTTTTGTTAAAAAAAAAAAATGAAAAATAAATAAATAAACAAAAACTTTATTCTGGATACATGGATCGTTTCAAGGAAGAATTTTCAACTCGAGAGGCATGCATACGGTGACGTTTTTCCAGGTCTAAAAATGAATTGCTTTAAGATATCAGKTTGTCCTAGAAAAGATTGTGTCAGCTACAGGGATGTCCTGTTTCTTACAATGGACAATGAACAAGGCCTAAYGTTACTCATATTTAATACCTTAAAACTCAAGATGTCCATGCTTTTATGTCTTTCATGTTCTTACTGCTTTTTTTGATGTTTTCGTGCTTTTAAAATCTGGCCTGCAAYTTTAGCCTTGATTATTCTGCACTTCAATTTCTGCTTGTCTGCTTTGGGGCCAAGTATTTAGGCTCACACTGATCTGTTTTACGCTTAATAARAAGTGGCTAATTTGGCTACTCTATCGTCAACTATTCTATTGGCCACATTTGTAGAATTTCTCAAATCCATCAAAAAGACTATAAYGCCACTCTTCCAGCAACTGGATGGCTGTCAACTTGGATGGCAGTTTTAGGAAGAAATAGCCCCTGAGATGTTTGACCAGCAAAATCCAAATTCTGATTYTCAGGCTGCCAGTTCCCAAGTGTCAAAAATAATTTCTAATGATTTTTTTTCAAGTCCGTGTTGGTTGGGCGAATGCATCTCCCTATTTCTCCTGGAGCACGATCATGAAGTGACAGACAAGTGGGAAAGTGTTTTTTGTTTGTTTGTTTGTTCGGTTTTTGTTTTATTTTGTTTTGTTTTTTGTGGTGCTGGGAATGGAACCCAGGGGAGCTCTATCATTGAGCTACATCCCCAGCTCTTTTTTAATTTTTTATGTTTTGAGACAGGGTCTCACTAAGTTGCTGTGGCTG